GATAGAGGCACGCACTAATGCAGCAAACATGTCGGCAGTGTGAAAATATTTAAAACTATCAGAGAAAGATGCAGAAATCATTACAAGCATAAAGAACCGACAGCGAGAGACTGTTTAGTGCTGCATCACATGTCTCCGATGAGAAGAAAAATTATAAAAATTAGCGAAGCACCGAATGTTCGGCAACCGAAATTATTCGGCTGAAAATAGCAAAAAAATCTTTCGGTGTTCAGCCTAATAAGTGAAAAGGGCTGAATAATATGTACCGAACTAGGGATGTAACGGTATGAACATTTCTTATCACGATTATAGTGACCAACATTATCACGGTCCTCAAACGATTAGTAAATAAACTGCAGAATGTTATATTTTCTAATGCACGCACGAATTGCATGTATTCTGACAGCGCTGCACAAGCTCGCGGCACTATCTGCTTGTTAGCCAGGGTCCAAAGAGCGAGGAAAATCTGCGCTGAACTTGTTACTCGTCAGCTCCTCAGTAACATTTTTGTGAATTTTTTTAAAGGCATGTGACAATGTGATACGTGCGACAAACATCTTCCCAAATTCATAATGAGAATCATTTATAAATCTGCATGCTATTGTCAACAAAAAGAAGCACTGAGATCTTCCTTGTGGGTTTCTGCCAAAATAAAAGCCGAGAAAAAGCAATAACTTCATCAACATTCATAAATGATAGTATTGTAATTTTACTGTTGTTCTGTAAAATAAAAAAGTAAGACAATAATAATGATGATAATAATTACCCTACAACAGCTCTATTAATACATTTATTATAACATTCACACATAGTGTTCAAATTGGAATCTGTAATATATTGTAATGTTTTAAAAGAATTCGCTTCTGCTCAGCAAGGCTGCCTTTATTTGTACAGTAAAAAATACATGCCTGATTCTCAAAGTCTCAAAAATGGCCAAAAAATATTATTTTACTAACTTATTAATTTTAAGTTAAATTGTGCTTTGTTGGTATCATATCTGCTAGAATGTTAAAAAATGTTCAGTGTTAAGTACATTTTTTTCAATTGTTGTTTTGTAATTGATTTTGGCTATTTAATTTATGCAATGGTGAAAAAAAATGGCAAAATGGCCTACATGGGGAAAAAAATGTGAAAAACCGTGTTCGGTATTCGGCCATCAGCTTTCTGCCTAGTGTTTCATTTTGTTCGGCTTCGGCCAAGAATTTTCATTTCGGTGCATCCCTAATAAAAGTATTGAAGAACAGTAAAAAACATTATAATGAATATGTTATATGGTGCATATATTTAGCAAAATGCTCCTCTCTATAGTTAATTTTTCTAGCTGACTAATGAGTTCATTGTCAAATGTGTTCTTCT